CCCGCTCAGCTTTGGGTAAGCGAGCTATGTCCTTGTACGTCCATTCTCGGACGTTCTCAGCGGGCCTAAACTCCCCCTCAAGTGGGACAGCTTTAGCCATGAGAAAATGTATCAATTCGGCTCCCCCTTCCCGACATAGTCTAGCCAGGATACCAGCTTCGTCACCGGGAGCTACCGAAGGTTCGCCGTGGCCAGAGGTGTTTGGCTCAGAACTAGGTCCGGGAACCTGATTCTGATCATTTGACTCTTGTCCTGCCGAGGAGCGACCTGGCTGAGGACCTTGAGCACGCCTCTGAGCACCCTTCGTAGGTGGCTCTATCTGTTGTTCGGTAGGCAAAGGTCCTTTGCCACCGGTAAGACGAGTGGGGGCTCTCCGCTCACGACCTGAACGCCTAGGCTCTGGTAAGGGAGCAGGTGGTTCATTCCGGGGTTGTGGCGGCGGACTCGGATCACGCTGTGGTGCAGCGGGTGGTGCAACGTCTTGCTCCGGATCCGGTCTCCTTTCAGGAGGATAGTGTTGATGAGGTGGAACATCGCCATCATCATCGGGTGGGATGGTGGGTTGTGGATCTTTCCGACGAGGAAGTCGGTTAGACCTGTGTCTGTTTGACTCAGAGCACCGAGGAAAGAGGTTCTCATCAAACAGCGCATGTGCTGCGGTAAACATTGAATTGTTTTCCCGCATGAAAATGTTGCCGTGTCCACCGTCTGAAGTTCCGAGGTATGTCATCAGTTCTGACTTAGGCGCGAGTTTATTCTTGCGAACATCCTCGTGTAAAAACACATAAGCGCCACAGCCAAGAACACGCAAGTGGTCTATGCGCGGAACTGAGCCATGAAGTGTCTCGTATGGAGTTTTCCACTCAAGACGACGGATAGGTGTACGATTATACACATGTACCGCGTGGTTGATAGAGAATTCCCACCAGGATTCAGGGAGACACGCTTGAAAGCGCATGGTCTCACCTTTGTCCACAGTCGTACGGATGAACCGTTCGGCATGTCCGGACTGTTGGTGGATGTAGGGAGCGGAATAGAGTGCCTTTATACCTTTGTCCTTGAAGAATTCGTCGAGTTTCCCCGACCTGTATTCACCTCCACCGTCAGACATCCAGTTGAGTATTTTATAACTCGGAAACTGGCGTTCAACCATCGCAATAAATTGCTTTATCGCGTTAAAGGCTGCGTCTTTGGTTTTAAGGTGGGTGTTCCAGCCATATGACGTGCAATTGTCGAAGAAGACGATTGTGTACTTGTACTTGTGGTACGACGTCACAGGGAATTCTTTCAAGTCCGAGTGTATTGTCTCGAAAGGCTTTTCAGCCCGACGACCGGTTGACGGGAATGGACGCAGATGCATCTTTCCCTTGGCACAACCTTCGCAAAGATCCTCTTTGTCTGGCACGACGAATGGTGGTGAGCCTTCCGTGTGCTTTCTCAGTTGCCTGAGTACTTCGCGCGAGGGGTGACCCAAGCGGCGATGCATGGTAGTATGATCTACCGAGTAAGCAATGGCATTGCGTACTAGGGGTTGCGGCGAATAGTCATGTAAGACATATATCGTGTCAAACAGGAGTCTGGGTTCGAAAGAGAGAAACAACTCGTCTTTGTCCCAGAACGTCACTGAATGAGCATCACCCTGAACAGTTTTGCCATCTTGAAGGAAGCGACCTTGTGCAATTAAGCGCGCAGTGCATTCTTTCATGTAGAAAACAGGTGCGAGTCTTGCAACCTGTATCTCATCATCGTCTGCGTCTTTGAAATGGACTAAGACAGTGCCGACACCTGTGATGAAGGCAACTGCTGTTGCAGTGCGAACTGTGATTTTCTGTTCCAGCTCATGGAACTCAATGAAATCGTTTAAGTCGAACGTGGTGTGTTCAGAGCAACCGGAGTCGTTCATCCACGTCTTTTCATTGGTTTTTCCATGACGATGACCTTTTCCCTTACATTTTGGACAAGCGGCAAATTTTAGATGATGCGCACACAAGTCAACAGAAATATATTTTACATCGATGCAAAAATTGTACAGGCGCGATAGAATGTCCGACGATAAAACAGTCCGATTACATACGCGTTTCTCTGCGACCGATAAGGGCGAGTTAGCACAATTTGCATGATGATGGGAAGAAGGTACTGACCCCATGTTCCCCAAAATTCCAGCAATGTCAGCGATCTCCGCGTCCAAGTCCAAAGTCATTGGCTCATC